TGGCAGCGTGCTCAAGTCATCGCCTGTTGTCGAACTCACCGAGTCGGAGATGGAGTACGTTGTCACCGTTGTCAAGCACATCTTCAAGGAGCACATTGTGTTCCAGTACGAGATCAAGAACACGCTCCAGGCTACCGTTCTGGAGAACGTGTCGGTCGTGGCAACGCCTTCCGAGGAAGAGGAGCTCGAGGAGGTCTTCATCATCCAAGCCGAGAAGCTCCCTACGGACGAGCCCGGCAAGGTGTACGTCGCCTTCAAGAAGGTCGGCGGAGAGGGCTCCATGCCCGTCAGCAGCTTCTCCAACATTCTCAAGTTCACCAGCAAGGAGATCGACCCCACAACAAATGAGCCGGAGGCTACTGGCTACGACGACGAGTACGAGGTGGCCGAGTTCGATCTGGCTGGCAGCGACTACGTTGTGCCGACATTCGCCAGCAACTTCAACCACATCTGGGAGCAGGTTGGCGCGGCCGGCGAGGAGGCTGAGGAGACGTTGCAGCTCAGCAGCATGAAGAGTATAGCGGGTAAGTTCAACCTGGTCATCCAGACTACGAACAGAGCTAACAATATGCACAGAGGCAACGGAGCAGCTGGCCAAGGTGTTGTCGCTGCAACCTTTGGAGGGTACCGATGTGCCAGTCAACCAGACGACACATACTCTCAAGTTGCTTGGAAAGACTGTTGGCGGCGGCAGGGTGGTTGCCAACGTGCGGATGGCTTACTCGTCGAAGTCCGGTGTCACGACCAAGATCACGGTCCGCAGCGAAGAAGAAGGTGTGGCGTCTCTTGTTGTTGCATCTGTCGCTTAAATATACTTGTTTGGAGTTCGTGGGGGTCGATACATGGTCGGAGGTCCAAGCAAGACGTACGGCACAGACGAGGACTTTATTATAGCCGACTCGCGCAGCCGCCGCCATAGTAGGGGGAGCTGAGGTCAGCGCATGATAGCGTGTGCGTGTAAAAGGACTGGCGGCTCTCGTATATCTAGAATGAAGACACGAAAAAGGCATCATGAAGACTTTGCTAGATTTCGTGTGTTGTGGTGTATTTTGCGTGATGGGAAATAGAACGTATTTCTATCTTGATCTTTTGAGGACAGTCCTTGTGTGGCTTCGAGGTTCCAAGGCCTGCATGGCATTGGAGCCCTCCATGTCAATGAAGTCGCTGTTGTCGTCAAGCCTCAGGGCGTCCCGTCGTCGATCTCGAAGCCCCCAGTGGTTGGTCTAGCGGCAGGACGGCTGGGGCTTGACAACTGGCACGGGCCAAAACTAAGCCGAATACGGGCTAGCCTCCTTACCAGGGGCTCGGGGAGCCGGGAAATGACGTTGTGAGGACTGTTTTTTTTTCCTTTGTCGCAGCGTGTGCGCTGCGCGTGTGAGCTGTCCAAGCAGGAAAATTTCCCTCTTCCAGCCGGCGGCCCACGCGACCACATGTCAACTAGGAATACCGTCGTCGTCTGTAGTTTCTTGTCAAGTGTGCCTGGTCTCGGGAAGAGCATCTGACCGGCTTGTGACGTTTGTTTCTCCAAGCTCTTGTCTCCGACTACCTCTGGTCTCCTCCCACTTGGAATCTCCCCGCCTTCTCTGTCTTTCTTTTAGCCCGCGCGCAAACCCGCACCCCGCAGCTCGACGAACCGCGTTTCCCCGGTTTTGAAGCTGTCGTCGTCACCGCTCCAACAAAAGAGAAGTATCGGAGGGGACCCATCGAATCGAACGGGACTTCCACCGTGTTCTCGCGCCTAAATTTTCTCTTGCTGCCAGCCCACTTTGGGGACACTTGGCCCTGCATATCGAAACCTGCCCTTTGCGGACAAAACCACCAACAAAACCTTGAGAGTTTTCTCCTTCAACTCCTCATCCCCACGACAACCCTCGAGGCAACGGTTCTCACCAGAAGGAAGGCTAGATACGGAAAAGACACGCAAAAACAACAGAAATCATGGTCTACGTGCGCCAGGACCGCCTCCCGGCGCTCAAGGAGTACAAGTACTCCGGAGTCGACCACTCCTTGACGTCAAAGTACATCCTGAAGCCCTTCTACACGAACGTGGTGATCAAGATGTTCCCCATGAGCATGGCGCCGAACCTGATTACCCTGACGGGCTTCATGTTTGTCGTCGCCAATCTTCTGACGCTCCTCTGGTACAACCCGACGCTTGACCAGGACTGCCCCAGCTGGGTGTACTACTCGTGGGCCGCGGGCTTGTTCCTCTACCAGACCTTTGACGCGGTGGATGGATCTCAGGCGTAAGTTTCCGCTGCCATGTCTTTCTTTTCGCGAATCCAAGCTAATAGGGTTTGTTGCGAATAGTCGCCGAACTCACCAGTCCGGCCCGCTGGGCGAGCTCTTTGACCACGGCGTCGACGCCCTCAACACCTCCCTCGAAGTCCTCATCTTCGCCGCCTCGCAGAACATGGGCCAGGGCTGGATGACTGTTGGCATCCTCTTCTCCTGTACTTAACCACCCGCCGCATATATACGAAGGAAGAAAGACTAACATTCTCTCAACAGCCCTCCTCACCTTCTACGTCCAGACCTGGGACGAATACCACACCAAGACGCTGACCCTCGGCATCGTCAACGGCCCCGTCGAAGGCGTCCTCATCCTCGTCGGCGTCTACGCCCTCACCGGCTACCTCGGCGGCGCCTCCTTCTGGCAGCAGTCCATGCTGCGCACCCTCGGCGTCCCCGCCTCGCCCTCCATCCCCGCCGCCCTCTACGACCTCTCCTTCACCCAGTGGTACATGGTCCAGGGCGCCCTCGTCCTCGTCTTCAACACCGTCGAGTCCGCCCGCAACGTCATCCGCGCCCGCCGCGCCCGCGGCGACCGCTCCCGCGGCGCCCTCCTCGGCCTCCTCCCCTTCTTCGGCATCTGGGCCCTCGTCGTCGCCTACCTCGCCCTGCACCCGACCATCCTGCACTCCCACCTCGTCCCCTTCGTCATGTTCGCCGGCGTCGTCAACGCCTACTCTGTCGGCCAGATGATCACCGCCCACCTCGTCAAGCTCGACTTCCCCTACTGGAACGTGCTCGGCCTGCCGCTCGCCTTCGGCGTCGGTGATGCCCTCGGCCCCCTGCTGCAGGAGCGCACCGGCTTCGGCTGGCCCAGCGCCCTCGGCGACGACGTCTATCAGGTCGCCTTCATGTTCCTCATGCTCGGCATGGCCGTCGGCGTGTACGGCAGCTTCGTGGTGGACGTCATCGTCACCATCTGCGACTACCTCGACATCTGGTGTCTGACGATCAAGCACCCGTGGGTCGAGGGGCAGGAGGCCAACGGCGATGCGAAGGGCAAGAAGGTACAGTAAGAAACTCTCCTTGCTGGCTTGCGGCTGTCTCTCTAGATCTTGTCTAGATGCTGGTGGGGCCTAAGGGGGTTGGATAGCGAGAAGGTTTCTGGTGAAAGGAAGCTTCTTCTGGCGTGTGGGTTTTCCCCCTCCATTGTTGGATGGGGGAAATTCGACCCGGGAGAGGAGAAGCTCCAAGCGCAGGCAGAGTTTCCTCCGAGCTCGAGTACGAAGACGTTTTGGAATGCATGGATGAGAAACACGACACGATGAACCATGGACTACGGCGGGGTTGGGCTGGAAGGGAAACGAACGACTTGATGGCGGTGGACATTTGGGGAAGGGAAAAAAAAAAATTGAGTGTGAGGGTTTATGGCGGAACGTTGCATTACGTCTTGTTTTTCTCCCTTGCACCTCTCTTTTGGACGACCTCTACGAGATTCCCACGAGTTTCCAGCGGTCTTTCTCCTTTTGACTTTTCTTTTCTTATTTTCTGTATTCTTCATATTCTCCGCTCCTATCTTCGGCACGGCAAGTTCAGGAGTTCGGGGCGAGTGGGAATTATCGGAAACCTATTGGCGGGTAGTATGTCTTTTGAAGGCAGAGGCACATGAGAGTTGATGGCGCTGTATCAAAGCGCCATCATCATCTCCCTATACGGCTACCGGCACAGATTTTGTTGTTGTTTGTCGCATATGTAGTCTTTTGTTTGCAGCAATGTTTTGCAAGTAGATGAGATACCATTAATTTACCCTCCCGGAATATGATTTCTCAAGCTAAGCATCTGTTCACACACAACTCCCGATGAAAGTAGTCATCATAGACTTGGCGGTGATGAACCGATATGCACCGGTCTTATTGGCAGCTAGCGACACAAAAGAACTCGGCAGTAGGCTAGGTCTGCTGTAGCCAGAAAAAAGGCACCAATTACATGTCGTCATAGGAGGACGGCCGAGGTGCCCTAGTAAAGCCAGACGAGAGGTAGCATCATGAATCACACTCGAAGAACACCACGCTAGGCACCGAAATTGTGTAGAATTTCTTCGAGACTTTCTTTCGATGACTTCAAAGAGGAGCGGGATGCCTAAGCCTGCAAACTTGGAATCCTTTCGAACCCCTATTCCCCCCCCCCCCCCCCCGCGGTTTTACCCCCGGAAGAAAATAGCAGGGAAAAGAGAAGCAAATCAGACCACAGTGGTAACCCCAAAAGCATGCAATTTGCCAGAACGTCCCGAGCGTGCCGGAGAAAAGGCGACGCCCCGCTGCGGCAGCTCTGCCCCGTCTCGCCCCCATCCTCCGTTTCCCCATTGACGACCATGCTCCGTTTGTCCCAGCCTGGCGACGTCGACTGTATGTTGCTTGGCCACGCCGGCGTCTCATGTTGTGTGTTTCTTCCAGATTCTCCGTGTAAATAAAACAATAGACGCCAAGTTGTCTACAAATATCTTGTGACTCGTACCTCGTGCTCCCCCAAATAAAAGAGACATTGACCGTTAAAAAGCATAACACATGAATCGCAGCGATGCATTGAAAGGCCGAACCTGCTCGCGGCGGGCTCGCCGTCATATCGTCTGTCGTTTCAGCAGGCGGACCCCCCATATTGACTCCGTTTACCCAAACGCCGAACCTGGCCGGATGTAAGGCTCGTTATGTCTGTTGGTGCTGACAAAGCACCCTCGTCGACCGCCTCCCCACTGGGGAGAGAGGGGGCAGCTACAGGAGCTCGTCGCTGCCGCTCGCGACGCTGCCTTCGATGGCGTCGAGAATTGAGCGCTCCGAAAACACCGGTCCCTGGCCATCGCAGCGTGCCTGATGCTTCAGCCGCTCGCTTACGTCGCCTACATCGACCAACCCCCGCTTGAACAGCGGGTGGTTGATGATGAAGTCCCACGTGGCACCAGCCGCTAGCAAGCGTTCTCCTTCAGATGATATCGCGACTCGGTGACTTGGCGTTTTGTTGTTGTGCTTCGCTAGAAGGTCGGTGTAGAAGTCCTTGGGGTTGTACGTCATCGGCCCCGTCATCCGAGGCTCCGGCGATGTAGAGCTGTGGTGGCCGTTCATTGATGATGTAGCACGGAGGATCTCGTTCTCGGTGCTGATCTTTTGCATCTCGCGCTTGAGTCGTTCGTTCTCGGTGGACTTTTGCTGGGCCTCTGCCTCGAGATTCGCAAGCTTGGCTTCAAGGTCCTTAACGTGCTTTTCCTTGCGCTCACGGAATGCGCGTTGACTATTGCGATGGTAATGTTAGCATGCTCTGCTTGTGAGAAATGCGCTGCTCATGCATGGTGTGCGACAAAGGTTGTACGTACGCAGCGCGGTTCTGGGCCTTCCTTCTTGACTGGGCCGGCGTCAGGTCCTCGTCGTCCGAGTTGGAACCGCCGCGACGGGAGTGATCATCCATGGGCTCTTGCTTGTGGACAACCACCTCAGGCTGAGGCTTGATCTGCTGGACGGGGGGAGCGGGCATGCCATTGTGCTGCGGTGGTTGCTGAGGCGGCTGAGGTTGCTGCACGGGCAGATGGTTCGGAGGAGTCGGCGGGCCAGGAGGGCCGGGAAAGGAAGCATGCTGAGGGTTGAACTGGGCGGGAGCATAGTTTTCAAAGGAGTTGAAGTGCTGGTCGTTGGGGTACTCGGCGTAAACATCCTGCTCGGTCATGATTGTGTAAGTGCATGTCGCAGTGCGCTAAGCGGCAATCCACCAGTGATCGGTGGGTATTCGGGGTTCAGAAGGGAAAGGAATTCGTTGACTTACGGGTGGAGATGTCGTGTTAAAATCGTCTGAACCTGCCGAGTTGGAATGCGATGGCGTCAAGGGCGGAATGCCCATGAACTGGTAAGGCTGCGCCTGAGCGAAGTACTGGTGGGAGAAGTCCATGGTCGCGCGATGTTGTCCTGGAAGAGAAGAGGCGACTCTTTGGAGTGAAGAGGAATCGAGAATGGGAAAACGAGTTGGGTAGAAATGAGAGAGCGGATGGGCGTGTGCTGATGAGGGTCCAGGCCAGGAGGGGGGAAAGGAGGGGGGCGGCGCTGGATGGTGAGGGTCGACGTGCCGGTAGAAATGCGCCAGTCTGCACCAGCTCTAGTGCCAGGGTGACAGGGCGAGCACTGCCTAAATGATGTTTGTTGGTGGGATTCGATGGGATCGGACGGGCTTGGGGGCGCAAGGAGGGCGTTGCTAAAGCCGTGAAAGAACCCACTTGGGACACGTCTAGACTTGCTTCAAGGGTCTTTTTCACTTTTGCTGGCGCGCGGTCAGTTGCGCGTTTGACCACTATGCAATATATATTGCTCCAAGGAAGGGGATCCGTACGGAGACCCTACCTACGGAGAGGTAGGCGAAGATGCCCGAGACCACAGCGAAGAGAACGGGGAGCAGCGGGCAGCAGCAGCAGCAGAAGGACCCGTGGAAGGCGTGGATGCGTCGATGCACAGGCCAGGACAGGGCCAGGCCCAGGGCGAGTCGTGGAGCTGGGGGGGAGACGCTAAACGCTTGTTGTGATGGAGCAGCCGAGTCGACCGACGGATGATGAGGAAGAGAGAAGGAAGGATGTGCCGGGCCCGTTGGTGTGTGTGTGCGTGTGTGTGTGTCTCCTCGCAGGATGTAAGGTGCAGCACCCACAGTGGGATTGCTGTACAAGCTGCAGACCGCACACTGCAGCAGAGTTGTTGTTGGTGGTGGTGGTGCGGGTTGCAGGCAAGACAAGACAGGACAGGACAGGACCAAGCCCAAGACCAGACAGGGCAAAGGCAGGGCAGGGCGGGACAGGGTCTGGTACGACAAACCGGTGGCGCAAGTTTCGAGGGCTTGTCTCAGTGCCGCTAGCGCTGCCGTCGAGGTTTGGTTTTGGATCTTTTGCTTCTGCCAGACGATCTGGAGACGAGCAAGAAAAGACGGGGTGACAGGGTCGGATGGATGGGGGACCCGCAAGACCAAGCTCCCTCTTAAGAGCAGTTGTCTCCAGATATAGGGCAGCGAGCGACGCAAGTGTCGACGTGCAAAAGGATGCGTAAGAACTGACGGAGATGGGAAGATAGGACGAGAGCGCGAGGTCCGGACGAAATCACAGGTAGGTGGTGTTCAGGGGCCCCGCCAAGGGAAGTCAAGAGAACTGATCTTTGTGGTGTAGGTGCCCGATTAGATTGGCTGCACCCTGCGGGATGGTTGGTCTGTCGTGTGGGAGCCGTGTGTTGTGGATGTCGAGGCAAGGTGGACAAGACTGGACGATCTTTGCCTGTGGTGTGCCTGTCTCGTATTCCCAGACTGCCGGGGCGTGTATCGCCAAGTAGATATTGTTCGAAAGATGATATTATTAGGATTGGAATCTAGGCCCGTTGTGTCTAGGTCGAAGTCATGGTCGATATTAAGTATGCGGTGCGTTGGCGTCGAAGCAGACGAGAGACAAAAGAGGACTGGTGAGCTGCACGTGGCCGGGCACTTCCCAGGAGAGTTTGACGGGGTTCCTTGACGTCGTTCGTGACTCGTCTGAGTCGGGGTCGAAAGACGAAAGGCAGAAGAGCACTGGCCATACGACTCAATATGTCGGTCCTCAAGACGCGAGTTGGCGAGCTTAAACCAGCAGAGGCTGCTGGTTGCTGTCCAAGGTAAGGGGAATGCGCCGTAGTGTACCGCAGTAGTGTGGTGGGGAGCAAGGTATGGATGGAAGCAATAGAGTTGGGCGGAAGGAAGGTAGCTGCAAGTATCTCGTCAAAGGCTAACAGGGGACGGACGGCGGGGATAAGGTTGCTGTGGTTGAGGCAAAGGGAGGCGAAACCCAGTTTTGTTGGCCTCTGAATATGACAGATGAAAGATCCCTGGGGAGAAATGGAGCTCGTGGGCAGGACTGGCCTGATGGTTTGGAGGGTAAAAAAGCTCAAGAGACGTTGACGTTGGAGCGTGTGTAAGTGAGGTGGCTCAACACAAGGTTCGACGGGGGGGGGGTCGGGTCGGGAGGTCTGTCAAGCGTCAGATTCCCTTGCTGGAGGGGAGGTGAGGTGTGCTTCGTCACAGCGCATGGGACCTGGACCTCAGTCGTAGTCGGGTTGATGCACTGGAGTCAGTTTGGACAGGAGAGAGAGAGAGAGAGAGAGGGAGAGACGGCTTACTTGGGAAAGGTATCCGTGAGGAAGGCAAGGTACGGCAAGGTGCGGTATGAGATGCCGACGGATCAAATCAGCCCTGCGATGCGAATGCAGTCAGTCGGCAGCATGAACAGGGCAAGGCAAGGCAAGTCGGGCAGGTATCTTCCCTTCTTCCTTGCTTCCCCTCGAGAGCCAGCAGTTGTCAATACCACGCGCCGGCGCACAGAGTCGGCGGATCCCCCAAGGCAGGAACGGGGAATTTCTGCGGGCCAATTCGGCGAAGGAGCCGCCGTGGTGGTGGTGCATCTCCGGAAGCTATCCGCAGCCGGGCCCCTCTTCTTTGCTTCCTTACCGTACCTCCACACTTCCAATTCACAGTTGCACCTTTTCCGCGTCACACTTGTTGGGTATCTTAGGCTCCATTTCTTTCCTTCTCCTCGCACCACGTTGATTGCACCTCACCTCTCCCAGACCACCAACCTCCTCCTCCATCTCCATCTTGCTTTTTCCTTAGCGTCAGATGCTTCATCTACCTGTGGCTCCAAGTCTCGTCTCCGCGGGCCGTTGGCGCATCAGTCTATGCCGCACCAGAGTCCAGACAAACACTCGGGCGGCAGCATCAGATCTGACGGCTGCGTTTCCCGTTTCTGCCATTGCCCCGGCCGGGGTATCCTCTCACCACCAGACCATGATGCATTCAAAGCCAAAAAGTCAAACAAAGCTGCCCTATGGCTGTGTCGCCTGGGCGAGAATGCAACCTGGCCGAACCTACTAACCTACTTGGACTGCCCGCAAACTCGAGGCTCAACCAACCAACCGGCCAAAAGGCAATCAACACGCCCTATCCCTTCAGATAATCGAAGTTTGTTCACCCATCGTGACCATGGGCGTCATTTCTACCACCCTGAGATGACGGATGCCGTGCTACCTACCAAGTCCAGACGATGCCATGGGCCACTTATCCGCTGGCCATCCATTCCATTTGGTGTGCTTCACAGGCTCCTCCCTGATGCAGCTATCTCTGATCCAGTTCTACCAACGTCATGAATCACCAACAACACGCACCACCACCGTCGCCACCACCACGGTGCTTCATCTCCATCTCAACCTGCAACAGTCTCTAACGTTTGGCATTCTGCTGGTTGCGGTTGGCGGACCTTGAACCCGACAACAGCTTGTACAGCTTTCCACAGCTCCAACCGCTTGCCGGTCATCCTTGGCTATGTTGCTGCACGGCTAACTTGGCCAACAAATACCCGTACCCAGCCGTCTTTGCCGTCCGCTGCTGACCCGTCATTCGTCCGTCAGAGCCCAGAGGGCCGTGTGCTGCAGACGGCGATCCCGGCGCCCTTGCTCTCCGTCTTACCTTGGGTCTGGGTCGCTCCTTTCCGTACAGCTTCGTTTTCGCTTCATCGCTGAAGCTCCAGACCTGGACTGTATCGTCGCATGTCCTGACTCAAAATTCCGCGCTGCTTTTCTAGAAGAAACAGACTTACAGCAGCCAGGTGAAGCTTTCCCCGAGGAAACCACCACATCGGAAACAATACGCGAAAATGCGGCTCGATGCAGTTCGCGGCGGCCATCACCGGCCCAATCATCCTTTCGACATCCACTCTTGAGACTGATCTGCGAGACAACATGCCAGCTGCATCCGATACCCCAGAGTTGCCCAGAGCGCCAATTCCCCACCGGTCCCTCGCTAGCAGCTCTTGTCCGACGAAGCCCACCACCTTCACCCAATGCCATGCAAGGCCAGCAACGCACAGAAGCACGCAAGCACAGCTTCCTTCTCTTATTTCCACGTCGTCTTTCGTCTTGGGTCGAATCATCCGAGCCCTCTGAGGCCACATGGTGCCGCTGCCGTCTAACCTCGGGCACCTGGCTACCCTTATTGGGCAAAGCAGCCGCCTTCCCAACCTTACGTCTGTCTGCGATAGAAAGACCATCCTCTGGCTGCTCGCCTCACTCCATTTGTCTGGATCAAGTTCCACAATCATAGCAGTAGATGGGCCTTGGCCCTCCGATCAGCCGTAATGCCCACATACATGATGCGGATCTCCTCGAGGCCCTGTCCATGGCGCTTCGCCTGCAAGAGACAGCTGACCTGCTGGGCATTGCCTTGGGCGAGACCTCAGGCCTGAGGTCTTGAACAGACGCTTGCAGCTTCGTTCAACCACGCTCCGTTTTGTTCCCATGATCTTGGGCGATTACTCACCCCACGTCGGAAACACCGCCTTCACCGTTGGTAGGTTAGTCTCGACCTCAGCTGTGTACTCGATTTTGGACCGCAAGTCTGGCGCCTGGCGCCGAACTACGTTCAACCCCGGCCCCACAAGACCAAATGGGATTTCCGCAATCAAGCGCCGCAGATCATGCACTTCTTCTAACATCAAAAATGACTGAGCCTCGTGGCGGTTGACGAGGCGGTCATCGCAGGCTTCATGCGGATTCTTGTCGTTGGCAAAGGCGGTTGGCTTTACGCCGTAGAAGCACCGACGACGGTTATTCAGCAAACCTTATCCTCCATCACTTCTGATACGGGCTTCCACGCCACTTCGGTCATGACAATGCCCGCTTGAAACGGGGATCTGGAAACTCTATTCCAATCTAGGCCAACGTGCCCACGATACCACCCCTCCTTCCATTCCATGTCGGGTCACGGCTCCTTGCACGGGGGCGCACGGGACATTGAATGACAGAGCCGGGGAGGCTGGAGGGATGAACCCGTGAAAGCTTCCATTGCAATCATACGCCCAAGACCAGACCCCTTGGCTCACATCTAACAATTCTTCCGAT